GCGTGGCTCTTATACCCCACGCCCAAGATGTGTCACAGGAGTGCGATTCCCAAGGACATACATAAACCAACACAAGCGAGCTCTGTTGAGCGGGCGGAAACAAAAGAAAGCAACTTCGCAGTCACAAGCCCCCGCGACGAATCCGGCTCTCATTCACACCATTGAGAAAATGGACCTGAGAGACGAAATGAGGGACTTCCGAAGCATGCATGAGAGGCTCTGTAGATTGAAGCATGTCGGCGTGTGGACCCCTGAGGTTACACTGGGGCCAGAAAAGTCCCCTTCACTAGTGCTGTAGATTCTCCGATTTGATGACGAGCGACACTTCCCTAGTCTACCAACGGACTTCTGAATTCCCTGTCAATCCTCATGCAGTGGTGGACTTTCTTCACCTACGTCATGGTGCCGGGATTAGAATCCTGCGGCCTGATGAGAGCCAGGCCAACAAGGGCACATAGAACAAGTGGAAATTTTGGGGGTTGGATTTCATTTGCAACAATTGCTTGGTTAGGTTGGAATGGTCAAACTTACTCAATTGTTTTGGATTCCTTACACCAGTGAGTCCGTGAAATTGGAGGGACATGGAGGCTCTGTCTGCTTACATGGCTGTGAGCATGTATGCCTCCTTTTCGCATTCCTTTCACCTATAATACCCCACACATCTTCATCTGTGTACACTCTAAGCGGAACCCTTACCCCGTCATCATCCCTCAGCTCCAGCCACCGAAATGATAGTCATTTGCGGGTGTATATCTGCAGGGGAAATTCTCAAGCACCACTGGCTGCGGGGCTCTCCAAATACCGACATGAGGGCTAGAACCAAAGACATAGCTACCCTTCTAGAGCGTTCAGAGAGACCGACTAAGCAGCTGCAGAAGACTTGTGTATACCCAAGAACTTCTCTCCCCCCCCCCCCGCCCCCCATACTCTGCGCCGCAAGACAAAGCGAAGGCCGTGGAAAGATCTCAGAAAAGACATGGTCCCGAGAAACTGCTTTTGAGTAGCTCGGCCCAGCATCCAAGAGTCATTATGGACGAGGGGTTGTCGAATAGCTCGAGTAGTTTAGACGCTCTCGAGGTTAGAGCTGACGAAAGGAAAGACATAGAGACGATCTCACTGACGAGTCGAGATCTGCCTGTCTCGGGGGCGGAAGGGTCTATTACCTTACTTCGGAAGGCTTCTCTAGCCATTGGTCCTGTTGATGACATTTAAATCAGAGACTGGGCGTGGGAGAACTATCTGTCCTTCCAACCAAACAAATTTCGACAACATACCAATGCATCCAAGCCGCTTCAATCGACCATCTGTACCTCGGCGCTCTAAACCTTTGCCCACAACCTGTTCAATAAAGCTCTTAAGCCGAGTATTTCCATTGCTGGTCAGAGCCTAATCAGTAGCTGCCATTGCTCTCAATGTGCAGGTTCCAACCTATCCTAGACCTACTACAAGAGTGTGTGTGTTTGTATATTGTATTACTTGAGTCTATGACTGTCTAGCACATTGGGCTCCTCTCTGACCCAGGCCACAACTTGTACAGTGCTCCTATTCTCTTTGTTACTTCAAAGATCATTGATATATTCCCCTTGATGAATAGCCATTAAGTTCAGTGTTTACCCGTGGAATTCGGCCACCTTTTCCACGGAACCTTCTGCCCCCAAAAAAAAGGGTAGCAATGGAAAAAGTCTAAAAAAAAACTACAGCCCCAGCCAGGCGAGGCCTAGACACCGGGACCACATGAGGTGCGCATATTCATCTTTATCTCACTTCTTTGTAACAGTCGAGGCCGACTTGATCCAATCCGTCATCTCCGTATCGGGTGCTGAGTACGCTCTGGAAACTTATCGGATGGCATTTTCTCCATAATTAGGGGTCAGTGATGAGTAGGGCTCTGACCCTACTATCTGATCTGATCGTAGTTAGCTTCTTGACAATAGTGATAGAGGTTGTATTGAGAGATGAAGACGATACAGACTGCTGAAGCGATTGGGAATCCTCGTCGAAGTGAGGACTTTGTTACTCAATCCCGGCTATACAGACTTTACAGTGAGAGCTTGAGGTTCGTAGGGGACACCACTGACAGGTGTTGAGAATAGTCCCCCTACCTACTGCAAGAGCACACGGTAATATTGGGAGAAAGTTGATGAGCTCACTTGCAATCAATTATCAGAATTAAAATGCAACTGGTCCTACTCGTGCTATCGTTTCTGCATTTCTATAAGGCTCAGATCATTGGGCTGAAAAATACACAACGTATTTTCGCAATTTGAGGCTACCTAAAGACCTCACTAGCGGTCAGCGAATTGCCGCCAAGATAAGTTGTAGAGTGTATGTCTGACTATTTTTGCCATCGCTATTTCTCTCGGTCTGATGTGCAAAGATTAAATCAACAAGCCTCAATACGTGAGAGTGAATGAAAGTAATTGAGACCTACAAATTGACGCTTTTTTATCAAGACGCATTAGCTCTCTCTTATTTACACCTTAAAATCATTGTGCGCGCCAGTAATTCGAATGCGACAGTGCATTTGACAGGAAAAACAAGCCAAGTATGGAATGTCCCAAGGACCGCCTCATGGTGATGTTCTCTGGGAAATTTTGAGTAAGTTGGGCACCACCTCAACTTGGGAAGGAGATTTCTCATACCACGCTTTGCGCGGAGAAAAGTCAATGAATGATGAAGGCATGTCTAGATAACCCAGGCTTGACTTGGAGTGAAGAAAAAGCCGCCACAGAATAGAACGGAAGTAAAGTCCCAACTGAGTCCACGACTATGAGGGACTGCGTAAACTTAATAAATAGATTTACAATGTAATATGAAGATTGAATGCTCATATGTTTGATATTTACTAGTAGATTTTGAGGGCCATGCCCTGCAAAAGCCGCCATAACTTTGCAGTAATAGCCGCGAAAAAATTCGAGACACGATTTTTTTATATCTAAATTGAAATATTTACTCTGTACTTTTTCTCTGATAATGTGTCATAGGACATAGCTAACCATAAATGAATCAGAGCCGAAAGGAGGCGACAGAACTAGCGCTCCCGGGAGCAGTCTACGCTCCCGGCTCCAACTGGATATGGTGACTTTGCGGCATACCAGCGTCGCTTCAACCATACCATAGCCATACTTAATTGTGAACGCGGACGAGAAGACTCATTCAGTCACCTTGTCCAGTGAGAAAAGCGCTGGCGGCATGACTACTTAAAAGCGGAAGCCCTGCTCAGATCAAGATGGCGGCTGTCCAACGAGTATGTGCAGTAGAGTAGAATATATCCGGTGGCTAATTGGGGAATGGTGGGAATACCTGCGAATGAGAGGTCATAAATCAGTATCCTAGATGATTTCGCATGGAGAGATAGAGGTATGTTTATTGTGCTACTTATCTCTATTCAGCACATTTGGCTCCTCTCTGACCCAGGCCACACCTTGTACAATGCTCCTTGCCTCTCATGTTTCTTGAAAGATCATTGATATATTTCCCTTGATGAATAGCCATTCAGCTAAATATTTACCCGTGGAATTCGGCCACCTTTTCCACGGAACCTTCTGCCCGAAAAAAAAAGGGTAGCAATGGAAAAAGTCTAAAAAAAACCTACAGCCCCAGCCAGACGAGGGATAGACACCGGGACCACATGAGGTGCGCATATTCATCTGTATCTCACTTCTTTGTAACAGTCGAGGTCTACTTGATCCAATCCGCCATCACCGTATCTGGTGCTGACTACGCTATGGAAACTTATCGGATGGCATTTTCTCCATAATTAGGGGTCAGTGATGAGTAGGGCTCTGACCCTACTATCTGATCTGATCGTAGTTAGCTTCTTGACAATAGTGATAGAGGTTGTATTGAGAGATGAAGACGATATAGACAGCGAAAACTATTCGGACTCAATAAAGTGAGGACGAATGTGTTACTCAATCTCGTCTCAGTAGACCATACAGTGAGAGCTGGAGGTTCGTAGGCAAAACCGCTGACAGTTGCTGCGAACGTTCCCCCATTTCGCATGGAAAAGAGTGTTGGAATAGTGTGTCGGCCGCATTGTGTCCGAGGCTGAACGCTAAAAGGGTAATTATTTACGTTTTTTTCATCAATCCGGGATTTCGCGTAGAAGTTTTCTTTTGTTTTTATTCTGGGCAGCTGGAATCGTGGTTCAACACACAAATGGGCATTGGCTTGGTTTCGGTCATCGGAATGGGACGAGGCGTTCTTGTTCATCGTAATTAACATGATCCGGTAGTAGTGCGATGAATGTCACTTTAGCTAGCACGTCAATGAACCTTCAGTATACATACTAGAATCAAATTCAGAAAAAAATAGGCAACACATACCATCGCTATGGGTCCCCTTGTTGATCTTTAAGGTTGAGATTCTAGCTGTCAATTTATCTGCGAATCCCTGCTCTAGCATGGCAGAATGGCCTCCACTTAGTTTCCGCAAGGCTCATGGCATGGGCGTCCTGGCACAACAGGCCTTCGGGATATGTGCATACTCGGGGCGGGTATGCACTAGTACGTCTGCGACCCTTTGTCAGGTGACTCGACATCTTCCACTCAAGCTCGCCCCCCGGTAAGACAGCATCGGCACGCCAATCGTATGATTGGCTCGATCACACAAGGAAGTTATAGGGTCTCCCGCGATCGTGAAATTCTCCAACATATGCCCTTTATTACCGATTTCAAAGTAAATTAGACAAAAACAACGATGAGACGCAATGAACAAGATGGTCGCGCCCGTCTCAGACCTAGGCAGCCAGCCGCTTACATGCACTCTCAACCTATACCAATGCAATATTCGGCCTTGTTGCACAGCGTCGCAGTCTTGTCATCAACCTCCAACAACAGTTATCAGCGACTTGTCCACAAGCCTACCTCTAATCACTCGACCAGTTGCACCGAAATCGGCCTGCCATCTCAGTCGCAGATATACGTCTCAACTGTTCTGGAATCACCATGCTGGTTGGAGGAATCACGTGACATATATTTCAAAGACCTCAAAGTGCCATGAATTTTACAACTGTCCAAGTAGGGCAGAAGAATATGCCTGGGGAGAGTATTAATCGTGAAAAGAAAGTACCTGGAATCGAAACACGCAGTGGACCAAAATCTACCCACCGAAGTCATCGTAGGAACCACCCTTACGCGTTTTCACAGGCACGTTCACTATCTAAAGATCACAAAGCCCCAAAAGAAACATCATCAAGTGCTTATCAACAATGGTTCGATGAGTCAAATGCTCACCCAAACGCCACCATATTCTCTAGTGCTGAATGTTAGTAGAATAGGCCCAGGAATCTAAAATTTACTAACCCAGCATCGTGCAGTTGACCCCCCACATTTCCTACAAAGTAACCAGTCTTCAGCTCATTCAGGACAAGTCTACACCGACGGCAATGACAGTTCTGAGGCAGCCATAAGAAACTATCGCAGTATAATCGATGACTTGACCATAGAAAATAGGAACCTCAAGGAGAAATTACGCTGGCACCAAAATCAGTCATTGAATCAACTGGACAAGGATAAACTTTTCGAGCTTAGAATCCACGAACTACCGCCAGGCAAGAGGAGGGAGCTTGAGCAGACACTGAGTTCGTTCATCTACAGTTTTAGTGAGGTGGGCAACGAGCGACTTGAACCGGAACTATCTTTTTCCCGTGCCAAGCCCACCGTTGAAATCATCGCTGGCTCAGCACCCAACCAGTCATCTTCTGCCAGTACACTGCACTCTCAATTACAGGACTTCTCTCATGTGTCTACAAACACGTCAAAGAATCCAACGACTGTCGACCTTGACTCCAAGTCACCCGAAGAAACAAGAGCAACTTCTCAAGAAATTGAAAAGTTGACAATTCCACAGGCAGATATCATCGCGCAGCATCCTCAGTATTCAGAAGGTCATCTGCCAAACTACCCCTCAAAGTATATGACCAAGACACAAAAAATGAAGCTCGTTGTACAAAGGCTGGAACAATTATATACAGGGAAGACGAGCTTGAGCCTCGAAGAGCATTCCAAGGGCTCAGTTACTCCGGAGATTCCGGATGTAGCCCAATGTAACCTTAAGTCATTAGATAAATCCAAAAGCCGCTTGGGAGCTCGCGAAGCTCACATGAAGAAAATAAGCACGAGGAGCGAAGACTCAACTCCTCCTGACACGTTTTCTGGTCCGGAAGAATGTTCAGGTAATCCAAGTCACTCGAATATGTCCGATGAAAACTCGTCGGAGACGTCATCATCAGACCAGCGACCTACCAGACCATTTGATCTAGACCCTGACCGCTCGCAAATACCGGCTGAAAATATGCAGTACATTAGGCATCTTGGACTCTCTCCTGCCATGCTCAAAATCAATGACTCAGTTAATCATGTCGAAAGTAATGGATGGGTCTATCTAAACTTGTTGACCAACATGGCTCAGTTGCATATAATTAATGTAACTGCAGAATTTGTCAGAACATCAGTTCTCAAGATGAGTAAAAATTTTGAAATCTCATCAAACGGCCAAATGATACGTTGGAAAGGAGATAGTAAGGAAGCTGCTATCTCTAGCGATGGTAGTAACGAAAGTAAATCTAGCTCTTTCTGTATCTCCGATCCAAAGATATCGGAAAACCATCATCTTGAAACAGAAATTGAGCCAAACATTGAGTCATTCTTCCCATCAAGTGGACGCCGGAACAACTTTCATTATATTCCACTTTTTAATCATGAATACCGATCAGAAAACACAACGGAAAGCATCGCATCACAGCCAGACACAGAACTGAGGGATTGGGAAAGCTGTACGCCAGCTCCTCATGCTCACAATTGGAGGAGTAAAAAGCACATACTTCTAGGAGAAGAACCTCCAGTCAGTGACGGGGCTATAATATTCTACAACCGCGCCAGATTTTACGTGGACTTATGCGGTGATCGTGAAATTGCCGGGCTCCCGTTTCCCTGTCCTAGCTCCGAAGAAGATACCTCTAGCTCGTACAGAAAAGAACTTCAAACAGAAAATCTTCCACGATCTGAATCGGGCTCTTATCTTTCCATTCGCCCGTTTAAACAGCCTCTTCAACATTCAACGTCTGATGATGACGAGGACCTCAGCTCCTTCCTTCAAATTCCACCTGCTACCGAAGACAATTCAAACGAACTACCTTTGCGACAGTACTCCGAAAAAGGATTTCATATCCCTAGTAGCTTACAGCCGCTCAAGGTTTCTGGTATTGGGGGGACACAGCCAGCGGACCACTTTGAAATGCATGTTCTAACCCGTCGGTCTACGATTATACCAACCAGACTTATCAAGAAAAAAGGCCCTAGAATAAATAGAATCAACCGACCAATTTCCAGACATTCACTGAATATATTTCAAAATCCGGCAGACGTACCAAAAAGCAACCAAACGGCTCCAGACAAATTAGCTTCCATTGAGGATAAAACCAATCCCGTTCAGATTGTAATAATTTCAACCAAGACGATTAATTTACCCCCTTCCCAACTTCCCCTACCACCTGGTATTGTATCTTCACCCGAGTCTGATCAAACCTCAGAAACAACATCAAGCCTCAACATGTAATACCAACTCGCTCAATAAGTTATTTAAATTAGAAAGACGAACTGAACTGCGGCTGGACAATTCTAGAATAAAGATACCGATGGATACAGATCTCTCATAAAAAGCCAAAGATCTAGGTCTTAGCACGGAAACCATTCATTGAATGACAGGCTGTCCCAGCGATTCCGAAAGTTCCGATCCTCAGAGACTGGATGTAGTCATGACTGCACTATAACCAGATTAAACAAACCATCTCACGAGAACATTACTTCCACAAATAAACAGTGGGCAGAAGGCCTCAAATAATACACGTCCCGATCATGACCAAAAACGTACTTGGTATTCTGTGAATATTCTAAGGCGCAGCTACTAGATTCTAGTTCGAAACGATAAGAGTACCAGATAAACAAATGGAAAATACTACAAAAATCGTTACAATCAATTATAGAAGCAGCACAGGTGACGCGTTAGCCCAAAAAGAATTAAAGGTCCTCGTACCTTATCGGCGCCGAATCACAGAGAAGATGTCAATACTGGGCCTTGGACTTATTGCAACCTAATTGCGGGTCGATGCCTGGGATGGAGCTCGGAATATCTAGAAAGTAGATCACTGCTAATAAAGTAGTCTGGAATAATCCTAGAATGGGGAATCCAAATGTGCAACCGTCAACAATTCAAAACCTTCAAATTAAGGGAAATAAATGACATTTATGTCATGGCCTATACAATTAGCCGATAAAGCTACGCGAAGGCTTAGTCCGACATCCGTATAAAGTCGCTGGTACGTTTTTGATGATAGCTGGCCTATAAAGGGCACAACACAAATTGCACGACTTCAAACTCCTTCAAGAGAAAGAGACGATTTTTCCGAAACAAATCATCATAAGTTTGATAAATACGACAGTAGATTGTGAGTTATTAGAGATCGACCTTGCAGTGTCTGAAGCTGACGTGAAAATTAGATAACCAGTAACAATATTTGTCTCATGCAGCCCATACCTACACAAGAAAATAAAGAAAAAAGTAAACTTTGCATAATCTTAACCTCAAGCACTCATGTCATGCTCGTTTACGTGTATTTATGGCCAAGAGCTCTTCATCACACTTTCCATTGGTGTAAGGATGATTATGGTACCTTACCATCTCTCAGAGGTATGCCGATTATTTAATCCTTACTTTAAAGACCAAGTCTGAGAGACTACGCTCTCTTAAATTCAAACACTGATTGGTCGAAAGAATTTTTGGATCATTCAGCGTACAATCACAAATTTCGACTCTAGGCTTCTGCCCAGCATCACATACAAATTACACTTATTGTCATAGCTAGATAGCTGAATACAATATGATTCAAAAAAAAAAATTACACGTGACCTAACTTGAACAACCTTTTAGAAGAGCTTCTATGGAGCCCTCTACTAAGGATATTATTAGACTACAAATTGAAACCAATGATTTAGAAAGCTTGCGCAATGTAAATGGATATGTAACTCATGTTGGGAGAGCGGCCTTCGTAAACAGCTTTTTAATAAACATAAATTTTTAACAGTCACGTGAAATGATCAGATCGGCGGAAAATGCGTAGTTTGAAAAGCTCTGTCTTAATTCGCTTTCAGAGACAGTGCACAATCTTTACATTTAATCTAAGCTCAGGTCTTTACAATCACTTGATTCAAGATTGAAAGAGGGCACTGTCAGTACAAAATTACACTTGGCATCGACGCGACTTACATTTGTCATGTTTATGCAAGGAATCATACAACCGATGGGGTTCGAAATGACAAATATTTGTAGATCTTGTGACATCAATGCCAAATCAAAAGTCTCTTTTTTGGACTGCTCAGACACCTGATTCTTAAGAGGTGGAATCAAGTATTGGGTTTGGTTCTTGTTCGTGCAGCTACTTAATCATGACACATGACGCTTATACGATGGGCATGTAAAATGACTCATGAGTCCAAACATCAGCACTTTCGGTGCTATTCACAAACACTCCTATGAGATGGGGGACGAAAACTCAACACCTGTTAGTGGTGTTCCCTACGAACCTCCAGCTCTCACTGTAGAGTCTGCAGAGCCGAGATTGAGTAACACCTTCGTCCTCACTTTGTTGATTCCCAATAGTTTTCGCTGTCTGTATCGTCTCTATCTCTCAGCACAACACCCTAGTACCATTATCTTGGAGCTAACCACGACCAGATCTGATGGTAGGTTTGAAGCCCTACTCATCACCCATCTGTGATGATGGAGAAACAGCCATCCGATGAGTTTCCGGAGCGTGTCTAGCACCCGATACAGAGATGGCGGATTGGATCAAGTTGGCCTCTAATTTCACAAAGAAGGGAGATACAGACGCATTGCGCATCTCGTATATCTAAAGCTGCAGATTCTTTGACAATTTTCCCTTTTCTTGGGTAGAAGGCTCCATAGAAATGAAGGTTGAACTGTGTGGGTAATAACTGGGCTAATTGGCTATCCATCATAGATATTAAATCATGGATCTTTTTTACAACAAAAGAAGATGGGAGCATCGTATGAGCTATGGTCTAGGCCAGAGAGGAGCCAAATGTGCTAGAAATTCATGGATTTAAGCAGCATAACAAGAACTAAAACAGTTATACCTACGAGGTACATTGGTTTGCAGAAAGCGCACGATCTACCCTGGTAAGAATCCGCTTTAGGGAAATTTTCAAATGTCAGAATGTTCAAGCGTGTCTTTGATATTCCAGGTAGGAGCACTACGAGAAATGTAGTTGAGTCTCGCGGGTTGCGAATAAGATGTGCGCCCGACGTTTCCAGAATCGACATGAGAGACTAAATCGGAAGTCGCACCACTGCACCATCCGAGCTCGGAGTGGGGCGGCTTCCACAATACCTCACCAAGGGTCTGACATCAGTTCAAGGCTCCTGAATACAAATAATGACAATAGCATTTCAAGAGATCAACTGAGATTCTGAATTCGCCCGGTAACGGGTAGACGTGGAACAGAATCTGAATAACGCGCAATGGAAAGGGTGCCATGTTCGCGGCACGAAAGAAGTCGAAATGGAGTCATATTTAGGTTACTGCCATTTGAAGGGGACCTGCGTGCCATAAGTATTGACAAGAGCGACACATAATTTGAGGTCACTATGGGCCCAGTCGCAGCGCCATCGAGGACCGGAATTCCCCAATAGGCCTCTTGGGTCCGCGCCATATTGCAACCCATGTACTCCTGTGTGGGTGTAAAGTGTTATGACTGCAAGGTTATGGGAGGTAGAATAGTTACCGATGAATAACTGCACGTTCACTGAGACTTGAAGATAGAGGTAGATTGTAATGAATTAGTAGACTTGATCTCTTTCAAGTTTAGAGAATCACTACTTTTATATACATATACCACATTCTATGGCTTTCCATATCCCCAGTCGCTCAGTTCCATCCAGCTCTGAGTCATCACATTCTATTCCATCCTGTTCTATTCTATCTGACTCTGGTCTGTTCTGTTTTAACCATTAGATTCTACATCTCTGTGATCCACAATAACCAGATGCAGGGGTGGTTTGTGTTTGTTTGTTTGTTTGTGTGTTTTTATTGTACTACTTGAGTCTATGACTATCTAGCACATTGGGCTCCTCTCTGACCCAGGCCACACCTTGTACAGTGCTCCTATCCTCTTTTGTTACTTGAAAGATCATTGATATATTCCCCTTGATGAATAGCCATTCAGCTCAGTATTTACCCGTGGAATTCAGCCACCTTTTCCACGGAACCTTCTACCCAAATAAAATAAAAATGGTAGCAATGGAAACTGCGTGCGCGGGAAAAAGTCTCAAAAAATCTGCAGGCCCAGCCAGGCAAGGCCTAGACACCGGGACCACATGAGGTGCGCATATTCATCTATATCTCCCTTCTTTGTAACAGTCGAGGTCGACTTGATCCAATCCACCATCTCCGTATCGGGTGCTGGGTACGCTCCGGAAACTCATCGGATGGCTTTTCCTCCATGATCAAGGGTGGGTGACGAGTAGGGCTCCGACCCTACCATCTGATCTGATCGTGGTTAGCTTCATGATAGTGGTGATAGGGGAATGTGTTGAGAGATGAAGACGATACAGACGGCGAAAGCGAATGGGAATCCTCGTCGAAGTGAGGACTTTGTTACTCAATCTCGGCTCTGCAGACTCTACAGTGAGAGCTGGAGGTTCGTAGGGGACACCACTGACAGGTGTTGAGAATAGTCCCCCTGCAGGGGTGGTTATGTCATGAATCACAACATAAAGGCAACCTAATCACATATTCGCAAGCCCAATTTGATGTATGACTTGGATTCGGGAAGCCAGATAGAATCGAGGAGCCAAAATCCCCAAGAATTTGGCTGTCCACTTCCAGAGTAACAGAGCGGCGTCCCACGTTGAGTTTATTTGCCTCGAGAGCCTGGGATAACTACGTAGTAGCCTTGAAGCTGGTTTAGAGATAGGATGGAGTTTATCGATGGCTAGAGATAGTTAACTGTGCTTGGATTGTCTGTCACTCCGACCCATGTGGCGAGGAGTCCCTCCACACACACGAGGGCTCGCCGCACACCAGCATAGACACCAGCATACTTCTTTCCAAACCTAGTAAATCTATTCAGGCATCTGTTGGGTAATCATTATTCGTGCCGATCAGTGCCGATACGAGTCCTCCATATCTCATGGCGTAAGCGCAATTTTTTCTAATGTGAGCTATTTTATTGCTACCATCATGTTGCCGCTGTAGTGAGAAGGAGCTCGCATATCTCATTAGAAGTCGATTAGAGATTCTATCGAAGGCGGCAGCGCATTGTATTCCATTTGCGTGGGCACCTCGATAGCTTGACTCCATAGCAACAGTGTCATGCCCTCTAAGCGCCGCTCATCACCCATCAAGCCGTGGAGAAGCTTTGTAAATTACTTTCCACCACTCGCGTTGTCCCGCCCAGCGACACCAATAGATTCAGGCTGTACTGGAAGGAGGAGGCGCCTCCCGCCTCGATGGTCTCGCTGCCTGCAGTTGTATGCAT